TCTAACACCTCCTCGCATCCCCTGGATGTACCACCCACAGCTCTTGTCCAGCTGGACAGAGCCTGCTGCAGCCCCACTTCCTCCCTAACTGTGGCTGCCTCAATCTGCCCCCCACCCCTTCCCCCCAAGACTTACTGGCAGGAGGCTGCTCTCCAAGCTGCTGGGCTGCACTCCTGGTTTTGTACATCCTGCAGCTGCATGCATACATTTATTGATTACATTATTGGCCATGTGGGCCAAACAAGCCAATTGCCAATAATGTCAATTTTTCTTTTGTTGGTGTTGATATGATATGGGCCAGTATATCGGTGAAGCTATGGATAATACTTCTTTGGGAGTCTTCTGAATATGTTCCTAACTCTGCATCTTCAGTCTTGGTCTCAGCTGGATGCTTTGCAAAACTGACATCTGCTGATGGCTAACTCCATGGTCCTGTAGGGGGGATAGCTGACTAGAAGCTGTTCCTTGTGTTGGGAGAACCTCCAGCTGAAATGAGTGGAATTGCTTGCATATGGAGGACTATCCTGAGTAGGATATTGGAATTTCTTGTCTTAGCTCTGGGTTCCTAATTCAAAGCATCTTTTGAGTGATAAAAAGACTTTATCCACTGAAAACTTTGTAATACATTCTGAGGTGTGTGTTCTAGTGGTTGTAGTGCTTACTGAACTCATCTAATGCTGCTTTATTGTAAGTTCTGATGATGACTGTGACTGCTTATGTGGTGCTGATGCTTTGATTTTGTAACTGTCCCTGAACCTTTTGTACTCGCAGCACCAAAGTTACAAACACTAGCATCAGTGTTTTTCCTGAAGAGAGGTGACAAAAGGCTTTCTTGGAATCTTTTCCACAATTTGCTCTACTACTGAATCTGAATGCTTTTCTTGCTAATTTGTACTTAATGTCACCGTAGTAACTGCTTCTGGGACCACACTGCCTTAGGACTACATGGTCTTGGTTTCAGCTGCGTTAAGTGTTTTTGCTGCTAAACCTCTGGTACATTGCCCCCAGAATGTATTCTGCTGCAGTGCCAGAAATATATTGGGCTTACATTCTTTGTTTGGCACAGCATGCAAACAAGTCTTTCAAATGTTTACAGCAGTGTGAGAGCATACATGAATCTGAGTGCTTGCGTAGGGAAAACAGCCTTTGGGAAAGCACTACATTTGTATTTTTGGGTTCCACTTCTGTTATCAGCACTGGTTTTGGTTTCTTTCAGGGGCAGGATTTTTTTTACTGGGTAGTAGCATTTCTTACACAACTGATAAGTTTCCCTGTAAAGGTGACTTGTACTGTGTTATTTATTTTCACACAGATCTGACTTTAATCCTATTATCAATCTATCTGATATAGTATGGTTTCCATTGATTGTAAGACTTAAAACAAAAAAAGCCCTCTTGCTGTCCTGACCTCATCTGTGTTGGGTGTCATGTCATTTATGCATTCATGTCTGTCTAAAATTTGTTTCACATACATTTTTTTTTATCATTATTACTTGGTAATAATTTTTCTTAGGCTATGCCTGTAGACTCTATAAGACTGCTACAAAGGTAGTACCCTTTTATGGTATTCGCTTTGCTTTGCTTTGGGTCATTTGGGATGCAAAAGCCCAGAAGTACATGCTTATTAGACAATACCCTTCTAATGTCATTTATCTGCAGTAATATTTTTCTGATGGTGTGCCTCAGAGCTGTCAAATATATGTCCCACAAACCAAATTTGGCTCCCAGGGCCTGTTACTGCAGCTGCAAGAGCCACTGTGGTGATGGCATTAATCCGTGTGGGTTCTGAAGTAGTTGTTTCAACATGGCTCTAGAATCCAGGGAGGGAGTTAATGCCACTTGCCGTGCTACACCGGCTGCTGAAATCAGGATTTTTAATTCCCCCTGGTCTAAGATTGGTGGTAAGGGATAAGGGAGCACAATTAGTAACAGCATCAACTGTCTTGGTTTTGGAGCTCTGCTGAAATGGTGGTAATTCCTGTGTCCAGCCTTTGAGGCCAAACAAGTTTGATAACTGGTGGTTTTGGATGTTCACTATATTGACCATAACACAAATTAAAAAATTTAGGAATAAATGATGATCGTAGTCTAACACTGACAATAGGGTGCCTCAAGGATCTGTATTCTGCCTAATGTTTAATAAGTTAACAGTTTGGAAAGATGGAGAGGACTAAGGTAATAACTTTTGTAGATGACAAAGTTCAGGTTAGTTATATCTAGAATAAGCTGTGAGGAATTTTCTTAAGAATTTAATTAAAGTAGAAAAATGGGCAACCAAATAGGTTTAGATCAAAGTTAGTAAATGAAAAGTAATGTATATTGGAAGGAAAAATTAAATTCTGTATTTGATGCATCAGGTTAACTATTGATTTGGGAAAAGGAAAATTTATAGTGAAGACTTTGAAAAGATTAGAACCTTAGAATGGAAACTGCTAAAGGAAAGCATGATAAAATTATACACAATTATGGGGGCTTCTGTTGTACTGTTCTGGAACAGGGACTGGTGACCTAGGGCTCCAGCAGAGGAGGCTTCTATTGCGCCATTGCAGCTGAGCAGTGGGAAGAAGTGGCAGTAGTATGTTGGTCCTGATGCCCACTTCTGAACTGAGCAGGGTTGTTCAGTCTCCTGCTGTGCTGGAGAACATTTTCAATCCCTGTAATAGAACACAAAAACAAAGCATATTCTGAAAATAAAAGGAGAAAATCTCAGAACAAATATTTATTTATTTTTATATGATCAATAATTATAGTGTATCGTTTTGGTACAGGATGTTATTGGGGCCAAGAATTTTTCTAAACTGAAAATGCAACTAAAAAGAGAATACACAGGTGTTAGGGATAATAACTAGCCAAAGAATATTGGAAGAGAAATAAAACCTCAGATTTAAGGTTTTGAAACGTTCTTTATTAGGGGTAAGTATAAGTCTTATACATAAAGCTTCTGGCTTGCAGCTTTTTTGCTCCTTCCTTTGAAAGACTTTATTTGCATATTAAATGATCTGAATAAGATGCACACCTTGGGTTAACCTATTGAATGCTGAAAGGAATTTGTCAGTTTCCTTATTGTGGAGGTCTACTTTCTTGCAGATCTCATGAGGCGCCAAGAAGAACTGAGGCGTTTGGAAGAACTTAGAAATCAAGAACTACAGAAACGGAAGCAGATACAATTGAGGTATTTAGTTTTATTTTGTACAGATGTGGCAGTGAGTCGCACATTTTAGGCAAGTAATTGACATGCTTGAGGAAAAGTAAGAATTTTTAGTTTGTAGGCCTTCATTTTGATGTCTGCTATAGGTGCAATTGTATTCTTCAGAAGTACTTTTATTAGGGGCACAAGAATAAATGCATATGAAGTTCCTAAATTTCATGTGAAAAATTATTTTAAGATTGTTTTCAGTATATTTGTAACCTTAGATAGGAACATGTCCATGATGCATTTTCATGTGCTTAACTTGGAAAAGTGTCACAGAATCATAGAAAAGTAGGGTTGAAAGGGACCTCCAGAGGTCATCAGTTACAATCCCCTTCCTGAGGCTGGATCATCCCTATCTAAACTGTCCTATATAAATCCATAATTTTCTATGATCAGGTCACAGAATCCTTATATGCAGGTGTCACAGTGGATGTAGTCTTTCTGGACTTTAGGAAGGCCTTCAACACTGTCTCTCACCCCATTCTCATTAAAAAACTAGGAGACTGTGGTGTCGATACCTACATTGTCAAATGGGTCACTAGTTGGCTGGAGGGCTGCACCCTGAGGGGGTGGTGGTGTATGGGTCTTTTTTGACCTGGAGGTATGGTGGGCTGTGTGGTTCTGCAGGGCTCAGTCCTCGGGCCTGCACTGTTCAACATCTTCATCGGTGACGTGGACGGGGGTGTAAAAAGCACCCTGTTCAAATTCGCAGATGACACTAAGATGTTGGGGGGAAGTGGGCACGCTAGAAGGGAGGAATAGACTGCTATTGGACCTGGACAGGTTACAGGGGCGGGCAGATGAGAACAGGATGGGTTTTAGTACTGACAAGTGCAAGGTACTGCATCTAGGGAGGAAGAACCA